CACTTTTTTGCTCTTTAAATAATAACTCATAATGGTTGTCATACCCAAATTTGTCATACCCTTTCATTCAAACCATTTGGCTCATGCATCTCATTCTCATATGCATTTACTCTTCATTAGGTCATTTAACACATCATGCATCATTAATCAATAACTTGGAATGGGATCAAGGATCTTGAGGAGTTAGGGTTTCTCTATTGCTTTGAGGCTTTATTTTTCACTCAAGGTTGATTCGACTAGGTCATTCGTCAATTGTGGATTGTGGGGGTAAGGTTGAGATTCACGATCATTGATAACTTCTCATCAAGCTTCAAAGTTTTCATCTTCATCAAGGTTCCTTCAAGTGTTAGGATTTCATCAAGGGTTCAGCTGAGAATGCTATAAAATTAGGGTTTTGGTTCCCTTCAACATATCAAGTCCTTTCTTCATTAATGTACATCTCAAGGGTTTATTATTTCATTGTTTGAGTTTGTTTATGTTCATCAATGGAAGATTGTGATATTCTTCTGTGCTTCAAATCTTAACCATTTTCAAAGGCTTTCCTCAATGCATTTCTTTTATGTTGAAATCATTGGTCATCAAGCCAAGAGCTTGTGGTTTGAGTTGATAAACCTTTTAACCATGGTACAAGAGGAGATGAAGTTGAGGATTTCATTGTGGTCAAAGCATTATCATTTTCTCTATTGCTTATTGTTTGTAGTGCAAGTCAAGTGGAATTTTAGATTCGAGTTAGGTTCACACATGTTATGCATCCAATGTGTTCACTTAATTAAATGGCATTAAAGTTTTGTTCATAATGTTTTGAATTCAAGATGTCCAAAATGATCGATGGCCTTAAGTTCTTAAGCATGCAAGATTGGAAATTGCATTAGGTTGTTTGGAATACAAGGTTCAAAGGTAAAGACAATTTCAAGTTCAAGTTATCAATATTTTAAACATAATCCAAATAGCCAAGTTACATATTATTCATCATCGTCAAATTTCAAATATCATTCATCATCATTCAATTTTACAACAAATATTCAACTTCATTCATCAATTTCCAATTCAAGTTACAATGTCCATACATTCTACAAAAATCCTTAAACCTATCCTATCTACACTTTGCAAAAATAGTTTTGAAATGGTACAAAAGCTTACCATGAACCCTTGCTTCATGTCCATAAAATTAGTCCATAAACTTGGGTTAAAACTTGAATCAAAGTTGTCTGAAATCAATTCAAAAGAAAACATTTTTTAGCTTGCACAAAATTTGTTCCCTTTACTCGCCAAGAGTTCACACCAAACCTTGTTTTAATATGAATCAATTCAATTCACCACAACATAAACCAATTCACAGAAATTTCTTGAACCAGTTGCAAAAATATTTCCATGCATTACACATAAACCTGTGGTTGCTACATTCAAAACTAGTTGGAAAATTTTCAAAATGTAAACTGGAAAGAGAGATTAAATCGTTCTATACAAAGCTTGCTTAACAAGTTTTTTGTGCCAGCTCACCATAACAACTTAAACCGCACATGTTTCCAATCCTGAAACCAAGCCAAAGCATGTGAATCTGAAGCTAACACTAGGCTTGAGTTTTTAGTGCAAAATGGAGCTCTAACAGACTCCAAAGCAATTATAACTAATTCCATTCCTAGCTGAAACTCTGAAGCTAATTCCTAACCTCAATTCACTCCAAACCTAACCTCCTATAAATCTATATTCCCTCCAAAATCATTCATTCATCACCATTTTCAGAAATCACTTTAAATTTTGTCTCAAATTCTCTCAACTTCGAAATCACTTCTATCACCATTTTCTCTAGATTTTCTTGTTTTAATCTTCACCCACACACTCCATTAAAGCTTATTTATGCATTGATAAGCTCTCAACACCTCCAATTATCTATGTCCAAGTTCAAGATTCTCACGAAGAAGATGAAGTTGGATTGAACATTTCAAAAAGATTCAAGCTAAATTGATCATATATACACTCTCTTGGAACATCATTGAAGCTTAATCAATTTTTTCCTGATCTTACCTTCATCGTAGAAGACGTATCAGACAATCTTCGATAGGTATAATTTTCCTCACTTTGAACTCTATCATTTGATCATCATTTTGAATCAAACTTGTTTCCACTGCGTTCATCTTTGATTGTTGAGTAATAACCCTAACATCTTGAACCTCAACACTCAACCTACATGATTTAATTGGAAAACGAAATTGTTAGGGTTTTTGTGTTTTTGCTCTGATTATTTGAGAAAGAAGAAGAGTTGAATAAAGATGATGACATATTTAGAACCAGTGTGGTGAAACGAGCAGAATGATATAGAACTTTGAGGTTTCTGGACTTGGCACCATTGTCGCTGTCGCCTTAAAGCGACTGGCGCAATGGTGGATTCGTGAGGAAGAAAAAGACCTTGGCGCCATATTTTGAATTTGAATGCATGTTTGGCATGTTGCTATTGGTTGTTTCGTTTTATTTGTTTTTTTCTCATTTTTAATAATTAGTTTTAATAATAAATAATAAATAATAAATCAGAAAATGTAAAGTATGTTGTTGGACTCATGTTGTTGATGCGTTAGGCCTGATTACACAATTACTATACGTACCCCCCTCCTGAAGCCCAATACCACAAGATTTATGGTGTAATTGAACTTGCTTGAATAAAAACGCTCTATTTAAACTAAGTCTGGGTTGGACTACTTCCACACACCTTTATTCAAGCCTGCACCCCAGCCATGCTCATTTTCATTTTATTTTTTCTAATTTTCTTTTACTTGTTTTTGTTCTGATTTTCTTTTCATGTTTCTTTGATGAAAAAATGACTTTAAAATATAAAGATGCTTGATATTTTTAGAATATTATTTTTAGCATATTATTTTTTATTTTATGATTTTATTTTCTTTTATTTTTGTGTTGACTTTTTTTTTAATATTAAAAATGATATGTTTGTTGATTTCAATTGATAAAATTGTTGTGTGCTTTTTTATGACTTCTCTTGTTCATTCATTGTTGCTTGATGCTTGTGTACTTGCTTATTTTATCCATGTTCCCTTAAGTTATTTTGATTCAATTTTAATCTTTGATTAATTTGAATTAGGTTAGACATTAGATTAGATATTCCCTTTGAAATCTCAATCTTAGGACCACTCTTACATGATAACATTAGAGTTTGAGCTTCACTTGCCTTTGTTTCTCTTGCATTGCATTCCTCTTTCTTTTGATAAAACTAAAATTCTTTTCTTAATCAAAACTCAAAAACATTTAATAATGACAAGGCGAATTATACACCATTGAGCCTTAAGCAATGGAAAAGAATGAGAGGATGTATTCCCGACCTTGTTCTTCTTCCATTCGTAGACTTAAGTGCGATTCACATCATAAACAATTTCTCAAATAAATATGGAAGTAGCTAAGTTCCTATGTATCAGGGACCATTTACTACCATTCCCCAATAAAATACTTCAACAAATCAAAATATTTTTGCCTTTTGGCTTTTCTCTTTAACCTTTTTAAAAAAGACGTGTTATTTGCGTTCTACCGCAATACATATTATGCTTATTGCTAGAACGTGAACGTTAACATTGTCCATAAAAAACACCTAACAAACCAACATTTTCGAGACGAACTACGAAATTCTGATTTCTTTATTGTACTATGAGGATACGTAGGCACTGGGTTGCAAAATTTGACGAACTCAATAATAAAAACCTTTTATTTTCCAATAATTCATTCATGCATCCTTAGCAAGTTATAGCTTTAGATATACACATCTTTAGAAACAAACAACCGAAGTGGACCCCGTTGAATACAATAGATATGAGTGGTGCTAATATATTTTTCTTTGTCTAATCGACTTCCGAACTCGTATCTTGGTTACAAGACCATCTTATCCTTCATTTTAAGATTTTTGTTTTTATGTTTTTCCATCTCTTTAGGATAAATAAAATTCGATGATGACTCTATATTCGCGGTGCGACAATAGTGCTAGCACCTCGGTGCTTTTAGATACATGTTTAATAGACATGTTACTTTTAAATAATGATTCCTCCGACGTGAGAGACCACATTGTGTCATGTGTTTTTGAGACGAACCCAAAAGAAATAACTGACCACATTGTGTCATTATGTGTTTTTGAGACAAACACAACAGAAAATAACTATAGGTTTTGCTATAGAATATGTTATGTGCTCTAAAGTGTTATATTGATTAATTAATAAATTTAAAAAGTAAATTCTTTTATATAATAGAAACCGGAAGAAATAACTTTTACATAATTATACCTTTTAATTTAGGATCATCAATATGAACATATGTGCTTCAGCACACTAGTCTTACATATTATCTTTTTAGTAGTGAAATATAAATCTATTTAAAGTTCTCTATAACCAAAATAATATGCAGAAGAATTTCAAAATAGTTTACAATTATAAGCATCATGAATGTAAAAGTTCACTTCATATAGGCAAAACATTAACCAAAGTGCAAATAGATATCATAATGTCTAAAACACTTCCAAAACCAAAATTTGAGTTCCTAACTAAAGCTAAAGCTTTGAAGATCGATCTATTTCTTTTGCAAAATGTTGATGATATCTACTTGTTAATTGCATGTACTTTCATGATGGAATGAATAAAAGCATATACAATTCTTTTTTTGGAGATTGTTCATTATACATTTGCTGAAATGAAAATTCTGAATATGAAACCAATAATGTTCCTCAGTTTCAACTTTGGCTGAGGTACATAGAAGATCTTGTAAAACTAAATTCCAAAAGAGCATGGTTTCTTTGTAAACAACTTTATGTACATCAATCATTGTTTGGAAACTTGCATGACACACCACCATAAGTAAAAAACCCTCAAAATACTACCATAAGCATCATTGTGACATCAAAACTATAACTCTTCTTCCTCTTTCTTCATTTGAGATGCAATCAAATTTTCATCTCTATTCATTCAAGCTAACCTATCAAAAAAAGGACAATTGTTTCAAATCTATGCATCTTCTCATCTCCCACCAGACAACTCAATGGCATCTTGATTATAAACTGAATCTTCTCCCCAATCAAATCTTCTTTGTAATCTCTCGTATTCTTGTCTCCGGTTCACCTCCACGTGTTGCCATTCTTCCCACCTTTCAGCCAACCCTTCTCCTTCTAGCATTCTTACAACCTCCGACATTAGTGGACGGTCTTCTGGCGTTGCTTGAGTGCACAGTAATGCAACTTTTATCATCATTTCTACCTCTTGTATGTTGTAATTTTTGTTTAGGTTGCGATCAACAATAACTTCTAGTCTTTTCTCCCGCTCTAATTTCTTAACCTATAAAACACGACATAAAACAGTCACCGTCTCGCCGACAAGTATTAACAGATAAATGAACAGCAATATACAAGGAGGAAAAAGAGATCTTACATGGTCAAGTAACAACACATCATCTTCCTCTTCCAACCGTGAGAAGTCAATTGCACGTTGGCCTGTAACAAGCTCCAGAAGCATAATCCCATAGCCAAAAACATCAGTCCTTTCTGAGGACTTTCCCGTCGACAAATATTCAGGAGCTATGTGGCCCATTGTTCCACGAACTTGAGTTGTCACGTTAGTCTTTCGAACATCTACTAACTTTGCCAAACCAAAGTCGCCGACAACTGCTTCAAAATCTTCGTCTAGTAATACATTGGCTGCCTTCACATCCCGGTGAATAATCTTAGGATTGCAATGCTCGTGAAGATATTCTAGGCCCCGTGCAGTTCCCAGAGCCACTTGTTTTCTTGTAGGCCAACCCAAAACAAGTTCCCCCGGTTTGAGTTCTGCATCAGAATTTACACAGTTAAGTAATATACTTCTTTTTTATAAAAAATCAAATTGAATGCTTAGAATACTAGTGACGATTCCAGTATGCATTGTAACTTAATACCTCGTAGACGATATGCAAGACTTAAGTTCTGCATGAAGGGATAAACTAAAAGGCGCTCAGTTGGAGTAGTACAATACCCAATCAGCCGTAACAAGTTCCGATGAACTGCTACACTTATCATCTCAACTTCACGCTGGAAAGCTACATCTCCCCCAGGGCTTTCATAATCAGTTAGCCTTTTAACAGCAACTTTGGTGTTATCAGAAAGGACGCCTTTATAAACCTTTCCAAAGCCTCCCTGTCCTAAAACATTTTTCTCACTGAAGTTGTCGGTAGCTATTTGTAGTTCTCTCCATGCAAATCTTCTTAATTGACCAAATGCAATTCGCCGATCAACTTCACCTGACGAAACAATAAAAATGATGAGTATAAAATAGATAGTGTTAAAGTTGATAATTGGCTGCACATAAATCAAACTTCACCTGACGAGACAAGAATAATAGTGATAATTAAAGAGTATTAGAATCGGCAAGAGACTCAAACCTGCAACATCTACAAAAACTTCACGTTTGTAGCCCTTGTGTCTACCCTTGCACCAAAAAAATAGGAGGCCACCAATAACAAGGATAGCTACAAATGCTATGCTAAATCCGATTATGAGGCCGGTTGGTTTATGTGATGAACCTGCCATGTAAATTTGAATTCAGATTGTAGCATAGGGAAGAGAGACAGTTGTGGATAACAACACATCATAGAACAGGACCAACAAAATATTCCCATTAAATTACCTTGATCTGAATTATTGTTAGCACAAGGTTGGCCATAACTCATGCCACAATTCAAATTATTTCCGCTGAAACTGCAATGAGGAATAAGTATTTAGATACGAAACTACCATTCAAATTATTTCCACAATTAAAATTACCTTAATCATTTAAATACTAATCTACCATTCATACTTGTAATTAGAAACTTCAAATAACTGCGGAGGAATTCGGCCACTAAGATTATTTGAATCTAGCTGACTGCAAAAGAGAAGTTTGGGCGATCAGTCATATACTTAATTGATGGAACATACTTAAAAATGTAACCTGTAAACTTCCAGAAACCATTACTTCACCTACACTTCGATCAAGCTTGAAATACTGGCAATTGATTCAGGAATAGTCCCACTGAGATTGTTTTGACTCAATGTCCTGGTAGCAGACAAAAAATGACACTTTTAAACATTATAACACAATAAAAACATGTGCTAAGACGCATTATGTATCTGTGAAACCTGCCAAACAGTATGTCATACTTACAAGAATTGGAGCTGTTTGAGATTACCAAGGGAAGACGGTATTTCACCGGTTAATCTGTTGTTTTCCAAATCCAACCTGACCAAGCTAGTCAGGTTTCCGAATTCTTTTGGTATGTCACCAGTGATGTCATTTCCTTGCAAAGAACTGCATTTTTAATATGAATGGTTACACTTAAACTAATTGACCTGGATTGTGGGGATATTTTGTGATGTAAATACTTACATAAATTGGAGATATTTTAGAGCTTCTATCCTAGGGGTCAAGTATCCTGTGAATCCCATTATCCCCAACGAACTGCAACGAAGCAATTCACAGAATTAAATGGCATGCACAAACCATAGATACAAAACTGTGAAATATATAGCATGGATATATGGTTTCCCATAAACAACGAAGACAATGAAAGATTTCAACACCTTCTGCAGATCAAACATTTAAAGAAAACTTCATTAGAGAATATCTTACACTCCAAGAACATTGTTGTTTTGATTACAGTTAATATTTGACCAAGTACATGGGTTGACTTGATTTTCATTCCAGTCAGTAAGCTGTTGACTTGAAGCATTCAGTGATAGCTTCAACGCAATCAGTGCATCTCCTGAAATGAACAAAACCATTACACACCAGTTAGAAAAACACAGCAACCTTCATAAAACTAGGCCACATTCTATTCGAATGAGTTCGGTGGCATCCAAATATACGATCATACCTTGCTGATCAGACAACACAAAAGAACAGAAGCAACCCAACAGCAATAATACAAATAACAAGTCCATATCTACTTGCTGGCATCAACCACCTATTCAATGACCATGACAATCAACAATCATATTTGAAATCTTCATCACTGCAGTATAAAAACATCAACGAACGAAAACTGATCAACAACATAAAACGACACATAAAAAAAAACACTAGAACAATGAAAACAAATCTATAAAAATGCAGTAAGAATAAGGTTCTTTACAGAAAACGATGATGTAATTAGGAACAGAAGAAACTTAAATCAGATGCAGGCAAAAAAAAAAACCAAGGAACAGAAAGGGGAATCGAACAAAGCATACAAAGAATCACTAAACAAGAACAAAAAAGGAAATCAGAACGAAAACACATACAAACATGGATGAGAGAAGATAAATAATAAAGTGAAAATCGGAAAAGTTGAAAGTGTAGTTTAGAGTTTAAGGGTTAAAAGAGGGAAAGCGAATGGAGAAAAAGAGAGAAAGAAACTCACATAGCTGGGTATGACAGCAAATCTGAAACCGAACCTTCTATTATGTTTTGTTCTTTGCATTGTTCCTTTTGTTTAACATTGGTTGTTGTTGTTTTTTGGAATAGAAATTATGTTTTTTTTTTTTTTTTTTTTTTTTGCATTTTTGGTACTTTACTAGAAATGAATAATTAGTCTAACAAATTTACAGAGGCGTTTATTTCAAAGATTTAAAAGATTCTCAGAATTGAGAATAAAAATATGAAGTTTTAATTTTAAAGTAATTTTTTAAGTTGTGTTTGATACTTTTTTATTTAAATTATGTGAAGTTTTATAGGAATAACATTTTCACCTTCTTATCATATAAATAAAATTATACAAATTATAGAAATTATAAAAATTATTTCATTCTAAAAAAGACTTATTTTTGAAAATAATATTTTTTTCAACTTTCTACCAAATATAGATATAACTATTTCTAATCATGTATTTCTAAAAATATTATTTCTAGAGTTAGAAACAAACGCCAGGGAGATTTGTAGTAAAGGAGTCAAAATTAATAATTTTGGTGGGCCACTCTCCTAGTCTCCTCTGGCTAATTGGTGAGGACTTGAGTCAACGACGCTCTACTAATTGGGGAGTTAAAGAGAGAAACACACTCCATCTAAAAAAGTTCTAGATTTTTTTTAATAATAGAAACTATAATATTGTTTTCGAATGTAAGTGAAAAATGCATATGCACTCACTTTCTTTCTTTCTTTTTTTGGTGCTCTTTGAGTTTATTTATATTTAAATATTTTGTAGACAAATTTTAATTATATATATATGTATTCAATTAAATTATAAAAGTATTATAGTGGCCATTTTTTGATAATATTACATTAGTAGGTTGGAAACATGGATGACTTTCTAGTTTAATAATGTGTCGGAAGGGGTGGTATATGCAAACTATTCAAACATCCAAGTTAGTTTTTGGTAAGATAAAAGGCTAAATGTTTTAGCTTTTCAAGAATACGTACTCATTTGACGTTTGTTGTTTTTTTTATAGGAATTTTATTAGAGTTTTTATTGACTATTTTTTTGTAGTTTTCATTTAAACATTTCATATTGTTAGATGAAGAGATATAATTTGTTATGTTATTCAACAATATTTATTTCTCTCATTTGTATGGATCGGGTGTTTTCTTTAGGATATGTCCAGACCTGTTCTCTTTGTCCTAGAACTTCAACACAGTAAGAGATATTTGTCTTTTGGTATCTTTTCATTGACGTAATTCTGACCACAAATATTTTCTTCTTACATCTTTGTGACTTTTATGAATCATTTTTCATTGGACCGTCTATTAGGGTTGAGACGAGACAAGGACAACTTACATGGTTTCTCTCTTATCAACCAATTTCATCTCTACCTCAGTCCAGGTAGGAACAATTTCCTCCGGGCTCGGCCTGATGGAGTCGAGTCTGGGCTTCTAACTTCTTGTATTTGTTAGGGGAAGATACTAGGAGCATTGATACATAGTGTAAGAATAAGCACCTTTGTGAGAGACACACCACTTATCCACCTAAAACCTTAAGGTGATAGGTGAATGGGTTCTCCCACTTATATATGCTTAAGTCTCCACATTCATATCCAATCTGAGACTATTTCTCCACTTACTCACACTTACTATATTATTCCAACACTCCCCCCCCTAAGTGTGAGTTCACAATGCTCCCTCACTCTTTCAGTCTCTTTCTCGAACCAAAGGCTCTGATACCACGTTGGGGGGAGATACTAGGAGTATTGATACATAGTGTAGGAATAAACACCTTTGTGAGAGACACACCACTTATCCACCTAAAACCTTAAGGTTTTAGGTGGATAAGTAGTGTGTCTCTTACAAAAAGTGTCTAGTCCTTCACTGTGTATCAATGCTTCTAGTATCTCCCCCCAACATTGGTATCTAGAGCTCCAGTTAAAAATCTACGGGAAACACGAGAGAACAGTGAGGTGTTGTAATTGTTATTTCTGATTCTGGGGATTTGGGAAACACAACTTTATTGAGTTTCTGCGTAAATTTGCACAAAGTAGAAGATGAACGAAAACGGCGATGATATCCATTCCAATCTTCCAGTATTTGATGGTAAAAACTGGAATCGTTGGAAGATCTAGATGCACGTGTTGTTTAGTTCTTAAGATGTGTTAGATCTTATCACCGATGGCTATGATCTGTTAGAAGCAGGCGCAACAGAGGCACAAAAGATAACACAACATATACTAAGGAAGAAAGATCAGAAGGCGTTGTTCTACATCCATCAATGTGTGAATACGAACGTGTTTGAGAAGATTATTGACTCTGAAACAGCGAAGGTTGTGTGGGACACACTGGTCAGATGTTATGGTGGTGACACATCAGTGAAGAAGGTGAAGCTTCAGTTTCTCAGAAAGCAATATGAGAATCTCAACATGAAGGACAACGAGAAGGTTTCTAAGTACATCTCTAGAGTGATTCTGATCACTAATGAGATAAAATCTTGTAGAGAAACTCTTTCTGAATAAGTAATCATTGAAAAGATCTTGAGATCTTTAACTTCTCAGTTTGATTACATTGTGATAGCAATTGAATATTCCAAAGATCTGAGCACCATGAGAGTTGAAGAGTTGCAAAGTAGTCTAGAGGCGCATGAGTTACGTATGACTACGAGAACTTCTGAGAGGGAAGTAGAGCAACGGGCTCTGAAAGTAACTTCTGGTAAGAAGTATCAGAAGAAGACTTGGTTAGAAGCCAGGAAGAAAACTAATGATGGTCAAAGGTCAAAAGCTTCAAACTCTGATATGCAGAAGAATGTCTAGAAGTGAAAGGAGAAGTCTGACAAGAAGAATGTTCAGTGTTACTGTTGCAAGAACTTTGGTCACTATACCAAAGAATGCTGGTCAAACAAAGAAAGGAAGTCAGAAGAAGAAAATATAGCAAGAAGAGAGTCTGATGATGAACCTTTGCTATTGTTGGCTTCTGAACCTGATGATTTGAATTCATTAGAATGGTGGTATATGGACACAGGGTGTTCAAACCATCTTAGTGGAAACAAGAAATGGTTGGTTGATTTTGACTCTGAGAAGAGTACAAAGTTCAAATGTGCTAATGAGAAATACCTCAATGCAGAAGGTATGGGAAATGTCAGAATCATTCTAAACAATGGGAAAGCAGCAATGATCCAGAATGTATGGTATGTACCTGGCATGAATAACAATCTAATGAGTGTGGGACAACTGATTGAGAAATATTTTTCGGTTACCATGAAGGACAATCTTATGAAGCTGTATGACTATAATCGGAAGCTGATTATGGAGTCAGAACAGGGAAGGAACAAAACATTCAAGGTGAACATTAGAACTGCAGACTCTGGTCGTCTTAGTGCAACAAGTGTTGTCAAGGAGAGTGAGTTGTGGCACATAAGATTTGGTCATCTGAATTTCAGAAGCTTAGGGCATCTGAAATCAAAGAAGCTGGTACATGGAATTTCCTACAATCAAGAATCCTGAGAATTCATGCAAGGTGTGCATGGAAGGGAAGCAACCAAGATTACCATTTGCATCAGAAGTAGCTCCAAGAGCAAAACATGCCTTGGGAGTAATGCATTATGATGTCTCACAATAGCATCGATTGGAGGGAATAAATATTTTGTGTCATTTGTTGATGAGTTCACCAGAATGACATGGTTATCTCTCATAAAGTTCAAACGTGGGGTGTTTGCTGAATTCAAGAAGTTCTGACTGAAGGTTGAGAATCAGAGTGGTCAGACTCTGAAGATTCTCAGAACTGATGGTGATGGTGAGTATAACTCCACATAATTCAAAACATTTTGTGAGGAGAATGGAATTGAGCATGAGGTTACTGCTCCCTATACTCCTTAACACAATGGTCTTGCTGAAAGAAGAAACCGTACTTTGCTTGATATGGTGAAAAGCATGCTGAAAGAGAAGAAGCTTCCTCATACTATGTGGGGAGAAGCTATTGCCACTGCATGTTATATGCTCAACAGATGTCCAACAAAGAAATTGAAGGAAATAGTTCCTATTCAAAAGTGGGCCGGAGATAAGCAAAGTGTTAGTCATTTGAAGGTGTTTGGTTCTGTATGTTACAAACATGTCCCAAAAGACAGAAGCTGGATGATAGAAGTAAAGTAATGTTACTGGTGGGGTACCACAATACAGGTTCGTACAAACTTTGTTGTCCAGAAACTAACAAAGTCGAGTTCAATAGAGATGTCATTGTAAAAGAATCAGAAGTTTGGAATTGGGAAAGGTCTCGTCCTGACTCTGATTAGAGAACTCCTAAAGAAAAGTCAAAAACACATGTTTCTGAAGCTGATAAAGATTCTGACTCTGAAGAAGATTCAGAAGGAGAAGATGATTCTGACTCTGACTCCGATGGTGATCCAGACTCTGAAGACAGTCAAGGTTCTGGAGAAAATCTAATTTCTGAAGCAAGCACTTCTGAAGGGGAAAGTTCTAGTGTCCAAGGTTCTGAAGGTCCAGTTTAGAGGCAACAAAGAGTCAGAAGTATCCCAAGAATATTTGTAGAG